TATATATATATATATATATATATATATATACATATACATATATACATATATGAGGCCCAGCGCACAATATCGCACGGGGCCACCCACCTGCGTGCACCCTGCCCACCCACCTGCCACTCCGCCACTCTCACCCGCCCACCACCCTATTGCACTTGCAGCCCCGCCCATCAACCTGCCGCACTTGCAGCCACACCTGCCTCACTGCGCCCACCTGCCCGCTGCCCTGCCCACCCGCCAGCCGCCAGCCTTGCTGCGATCGGAGCCTGTGGGCCATGGGGGAGGGCCCAAGAGGTGCTCCATGCACCTCATGGTGACCAGTCGTTTGGTCGTGACACCTCTTGGCCTTTTATTATTATGAAACAATTTAGGAACAAGCAGGTAACACTTTGTTTTTTTTGTCAACCAAAAGCCTTCCTCCTTTTCTCACAACTTAAGAGTTTTATGCCAATACAAGCAGGAGACTAGCATTGGTGCCAAGCCCTGTGGTGGGCACTGAGACATGTTCCCTCCTTTCATCCTCACGGTGATCCTAATGTGGGCTCTGCTCTCTCCTCACTAGACAGATGGCGGACTGAGGTTCAGAGGGGGTGACAGCTTGCTGAGGTCACAGCCAGAAGACAGTCATGCTTTCTCCTCACACAGGTTCCAGGGAGGCTCGAAGTTGCCTTTTCATTCCTCCCAGTGAGAAAAGCAGCAAAGTGATATCACTGATATACTGTATATAAACCAGTGGGTACATTCTAGAATGTGATTTGAAGAGAAAAACACCTTTAAAAATATATTTTTGCCTGGATGGTGTGAGTCGGTTGGTTGGAGCATCGTCCTGTGCGCCTGAAGGTCACAGGTTCGTTTCCTAGTTAGAGGACATACCTGGCAGGTATGTATCTCTCTCACATCAATGTTTCTCTCTTTCTCAAATCAATAAAAATAGACAGTTACCAAAATTCATCAACCAATACACTTTTTAAAAAATATATATTTGTTTTATTGACTTCGACAGGAAGGGAGAGGAAGAGAAAGACAGAAACATCATTGATGAAAGAATCATTGTTTGGTTGCCTCCTACACGCCCCACACTGGGGATCAAGCCCGCAACCTGGGCCTATGCCCTGACCAGGAATTGAACCTTGACCTCCTGGTTCATAGGTCAACACTCAACCACTGAGCCACACCTGCAGGGCTCAACTTATACACTTTGTGTGAATTGTACTGTATCACTTCCATAAAGCTAGAAAACAATACAACAAAACAAAAAAATTCCCAGACAACACTGCATGGAGATCACAGAAATATATACAGCACAGACCCATTCAGAATCTTGTAGGCCTCCCTCCTACACAGCTCCAGACACACAGTACCTATTCAATAAATTGAAGTAACTAAATCAGTTATGAGGAAATGCCCAAAAAAGAATTTTCTGAGCAGGGCCCAATGTTCCCATTAATACATAGGAGTCTTACTCTAACCGGTTTGGCTCGGTGGATAGAGCGTCAGCCTGCCGTCTGAAGGGTCTCAGGTTCAATTCCGGCCAAGGGGCATGTACCTGGGTTATGGGCTTGATCCCCATTAGGGGTCGTAGCTGATCGATGCTTCTCTCTCATCAATGTTTCTAACTCTCTATCCCTCTCCCTTCCTCTCTGTAAAAATCAATAAAAATATATTTAAAAAATAAATTAAACAGTAAATAGGCCCTAACCAGTTTGGCTCAGTGGATAGAGCGTCGGCCTGCGGACTGAAGGGTCCCAGGTTCGATTCTGGTCAAGGGCATGTACCTTAGTTACGGGCATATCCCCAGTGGGGAGTGTGCAGGAGGCAGCTGATTGATGTTTCTAACTCTCTATCCCTCTCCCTTCCTCTTTGTAAAAAAAAAAAAAATCTATAAAATACCTTTAATAAATAAATAAATAAATAAATAAACAGTAAATAGGAGTCTTGTGTCCTTCTGGAAGAACCCAAGGGACAGAAATAGACACAAACCTAAGGAGAGAAGGGATCCCTATTTGTCTGCCCCACCCCACGCCATAATGTGGCTCAGAGTGATGAATTATAAAAGATACGGTGAGAATGAGGCAGACGTAGGCAAATGATAGAAGCTGAGGGTGGAAGTCAATTGCATGTGTGTGTTTTTTTAATTTGTATCTTTTATTTATTGAATTTATTAGGGTGGCATTGGTTAATAAAACTATATAGTTTTCAGATGTATAATTATTTTTAAAACATTTTACTTATTGATTTGAGAGAGAGAGATCTCTTTGTTGTTCCACTTATTTATGCATTCATTGGTTGATTTTTTTTTCCAAAATATATTTTTTATTGATTTCAGAGAGGAAGGAAAGGGAGAGAGAGACAGAAACATCAATGATGAGAGAGAATCATTGATCGGCTGCCTCCCGCACACCCCATTGGGGATCGGGCCCATATTGGGGATTGGGCTCACAACCCGGGCATGTGCCCCTGACTGGAATCGAACCTGGGACCCCTCAGTCCGAAGGCTGACACTCTATCCACCGAGCCAAACCAGCCAGGGCTGGTTGATTCTTGTATGTGCCCTGACTGGGGATCAAACTTGCAACCTTGGCGCATTGGGACCACACTCTAACCAACTGAGCTACCCAGCCATGGCTCCGGTGTACAATTCTATAATGCGTCATCTACATATTGTATTGTGCGTTCACCACCCCAAGTTAAGTCTCATTCCATCCTATTGCAGGTTTTTTCAGACCAGTTCGATGTTTTCAAAAATTCTGAATGAGTTGCTTCAAAATCAGATTTCACACATAAACCCAAATTTCTGGCTTCTCTTGAAAAGCTAACCAACCTCCTGCAACCCTGGACTCAATTCCCAAATGGCCATATGGGTTGGTGCCCCCTCCTGTGGAGTACTCACCCTCCGCAACCATTTGTACCCCTTGCGGCTCACCCCTGCTGAATGTATTGCTCCTTGAAGAAATCAATTAGGAACTAGATAATGACGGGGAGAACTCTGAAACCAGCTGGGAACTTCATTACCCCACTCCTGCTGGTTATCTCATTAACCCTTTCTGTTTTCCTGAATTAAGTGATTGGCAAAGAACTCAGCAAAGGACTGGAGGGGAAAAGGGAAAGAGTTGCTGAGGCCATTGGGTAAAATGATGCACCCAATCTTAAGAGGTAAAAGAACCCTAAGTATAGATTTAAAGAGGAAAAAGATGCATTACGGATTCCGTGGGGCCTGGGTCAGACAAGCAAAATAAGTTACCCAGAGGCGGTCCCCAAATGGGGTTCTGGAAGAAGCCACTGGCAGCACGTGGCTGATCTAAAATGTTATTTTTGTCCTCGACACGAGGCTGCCTCACTGTGGGTATGCCGATATGAAGCTGATGAAAATCTTGAACTGGCTTGGTGAGCTTGTGAAGAGCCCAGCTGGCGGGGCTCGGTGGTTGAGCATCGATCCATGAATCATGAGATCACTGTTCGAGTCCAGGTCAGGACACATGCCCAGGTTGCGGGCTCAGTCCCCAGTACGAGGTGTGCAGGATG